CCCCATTCCTCTGAAAAGGAGATATTAAGACATCACCAGACAAAGAAAATGGAGAGATTTCTCACTATGAGACTTGTCCTGAAAAAGAAAAAAGGAAAAAAAAGACTGAAGATGCTGCATGGAAATGAGTGTTTCTTCTCATTCAAATCTGCTGTCGAGCCTCTCCAGTGAGTTGTTTTGACTACTACGCCTGTAGTTCAGACTGGCCCTGAACTAACTCTGTAGCCCAGGCTGGTCTCTAACGTGCAACGATCCTCCTGACTCAGCCTCCTGAATTATGAGATTATAGGTGTGCATCACCACACCTGCTCATCCCAGAGTCTTACATTGCTGTTTATTATGGTGGTTATTATTTGTTTGCTGATTTTTCTGGCCTAATTTTGTGCAGTCTGCTTTCACACACACACACACACACACACACACACACACACACACAAGATCTCAGTATGTATCTCAGTCTGGCTCTGCCTTCAAAGTCATCCTCTCTGCCTCAGCCTCCTGAGTGCTAGGATTACAGGGGTGCACCACCACCCCAGGCCAAAGTCTCTTTGGTTATCTCTGTAATTAGGTGATAACTGGATGGGATTTTAGCACCTTAGAAAGGCTCAGTGCTACAGCCTGGGGCCCCCTCCAGAGCCCAGCAAGCAGCTAGCAGCTCTGCTGAGGATTTACCACCTGCCTACAAAGAGACCCCTTCTCTAGAACAGGGTCCCAGACCACCATGCCAGGTGCTTCCCAGCAAAGGGCACCGCCCTGCAGACACACTGCTGCCCGCTGGACTCTTGGGAACACACAGGAAAGTCTTCACAGCTTTCCAAGGGACATCCCATTCCACAGTTATTCTTTTCGACTTTTGGGGTTTTTTTGGGGGGGTAGTTTACAATCCTCCTGCTCAGCCACACCCAGATGCACGGCTACACCCAGACTCCTTTTGAGAGTTTTGGTTTATATTGTTTGTTTCATTTTCTCTGTTGTGCTTTGCTTTGCTTTGTTTGTGGATCTCTGGTTGGCTCCGACTGGTTTTTCAGACAGTGACAATGCTTGGAGGATGGAGCTCCTGGGTCCTCCAAGCCCAATTGGCCTGACCAGAGTGCCAGGAAAGTGCTTGTTGTAGATTAAAAACTGGTGGTCAACTTAACGCCAGAGGAATTAAATCAGCAGTGCTGAGCATGGATGTTTTACCTGAGGAAAGTTGCCAGCATAGAGATGTGGAGAAGAAGAGAGGTGCTGAGGCACTGTGGCATTGTGGATTCTCCTTCATGTTGCTGTCTGAGCCGTTGGTTCTTCTGGAGAAGCTTCCTGGCTCCAGAGGGGAAAATGTGTGCTGCTTAATCACCAGGATGATCTTGTCACACTGGCTTCCTGGCATGTACTCGCCTGTGCTTATCGTCAGAGGAGCTCTTGGGGCCTCTGTGTCCCTGAGGATGGCTGTGGTGTTTTTCAGGACAGCCCTGGTCTTTGTTTTTAGCATGACTTCCCGGCTCCAGCATAGAACTCTCACCCCCGCTGGCATGGATTTTCTGGTTTCCACCACTGACCTTTGAGCCTTCCCAGCACGGATCCATAAAAGAGACTGGTGTGAGTCCTTCTTGTGGGCTCTAGACCTCCAGTTGACTCATGGGAGGCATTGTCATGGGCTCTGGGTCTTCATCTGGACTCATGTGGGACATTGCTGTGGGATTCAGGCCCTTCGCTAAATATTCTATGTCTTTAGTGTTGTGGATAGGTTTCCTGCATTTTCTTGTGTTAACTCTGGGTGATTATTAAAATAATATTATAAATTCCATGTCCTGATTCGGATTGTTCTCCTTACAACCCCCGACTACAACAGTGCTTATTTCCCAAGCTGCCATGGTCTCGAGGTCCTGCTGTTCTTTAAGGCTGCTGGGAATGTGATTGAGAGGGGCGGCCCTGAGACAAATTCAAGTGCCACAGAGATCCGTATTTTCCTGGGAATCAGCTGCTTTATTTGAATCCATTCTCTTTGGATTGATGAGAGCTTTGGGGTACTTTGCAGAGCTCAGGAAAGGTTGGATTTGACATGTTTTCTCAGCCCTCTCTGTTTTGGTGGAAGAGTAGGGAGTTCACAGATTCTCACTTCACCGTTCACTATTCTGGAATTGCTACCTCACATCCTTTTTCTTTTTAATTTTTAAAGATGGAATCTCACTATGTTGCCCAGGCTATGTTGAAATCCTGGTCTCAAGTGATCCCCCTGCCTCAGTCTCCCAAGTACTGAGGTTTACAGCTCTGCTCAATCTTCTTTACCTTTTGGTTGTTGTTTTGAGACAGTGTCTTGCTCTGTAATTCAGGATGGCCTTGAACTCACTATGTAGCCCAGGGCAGCTGTGAACTTGAAGTACTCTTCCTGCCTCAGCCTCCAGTGTGCTGGTATCATACACAGCTGAGTTAGGTAGGAATATTCTAGGCAGTCAGACAGGACTAGGCTCTCAAGAGAGTCAATACAAAAGATGAAAACAAGCTGAGTGTGGTGGCATATACCTTCAATCCCAGCACTCTGGAGGCTGAGGCAGGAGGATTATTGCAAGTTCAAGACCAGCCTGGGCTACAAAGTGACTTCAAGGCCAGCCTGAACTGCATAGAGAGACCTTGTCTCAAAAAGACAAAACAAAAAGCAAGCAAGCCCATTACAACTGTGCCTAGAGATTCATCTTTTAGAGCTCAGGCCTCAAGATAAAGATAGAATAACCAGGCTTACCAGCCTCCCCAAGGGATAAGATAGTGGCAACACCTGGTTCAATAAAGTAGATAGACATCAGTCACCTCAGTGTGTGACCAAGACCCTCAGATCCATCCCTTTCTGGAAAGTTCCTCGTTCTTTCCATGTGCACTTGCTGCATGGCTTGCTTTCCCATTGGAACAGTGATACCTGAGTGGCATCCCTGCAACTCTATTGGTTGATCATAGTTTTGTCCCAAATTGTACCCACCTCATGATTTTGCTCTATAAAAGTTCCTCTAGAAAGTCGGCCCTGTGGCAAGCCATTTGGGTCTCCTGTCTCTCTCAAGAGTTGTCTCTCAATAGAATTTCCTACTCTTAATCTCCATCATTCCTTAGAATTAATTCATTCCTCAAGCAGCCATGTTGGCACATGCCCGTAAGCCCAGCACTTAGGAGGCTGAGGCAGGAGGATCACTGCAAGTTTGAGGGCAGCATGGGCTATACAGTGAGTTCAAGACAAGCCTGCATTTACACAGCAAGACCCTGTCTCAAAAAGAAACCAAATAAATAGAATTTATTATTCAATTTTGGGGAACAGGAACTCTGCATATGGGACATCTAGCAGGTTGGGAGTTACATTTATTTTCCCTATATCTGACAGTCCTATTTCACTGGGATCACAGGACTGTGCCACCATGCTCAGCCCTCTATTCAATTTTTTTTTTTTTTTTTGAGACAGAGTCTCACTATGCAGTTCAGGCTGACTTGAAACTCACTTTGTAGGCCAAGCTGGCCTCGAATTCATGGCAATTCTCCTCTCAGGAAGTGTTATTTTAGCCCTTGTTTTTACTGCAGAAACTGATGGTCAGTGAGGTCAGGTGACTTTGGTAAGGACACAAACACCCTAAAACCCAATCCCAGATTTGAACCCCTGAAGGTCCATCTACTTTCAGGGCCCTCCCACACAGTGCCTCCCCTTGAAGCTAATTCTCCTTCTCCAGATCAGCTGCTGACACTGAGTTTATTCTGGACTCGCCTGTGGGAGGAAGGCTAAGGAACAGTCCAGTACCTGGCTATGCCAGCTGGAAGCAGGGCTGAGGACTGACAGGCAGGAGGTGAGTCCCAGGTGTCAGACCAGTCCCCTGGAGGAATCCTGAAGGAACGGTGGCAGCTCCCAGGTATCCATGCTGCTCTCCTTGCCACCAGGAATGTTAGTGCCTGCTGTCCCCAGGTGAGCTAGCAGGACGCACCACATCACTGAGTCACACATGACTAGGTCCCTGGCTGAACGCAGGCCTCTTCTCCACACCCCAGTCCCTGGCTCCCCATCTCGAGCTGATAAATAGTGAATTAAAGCACAGGCCTGGGCAGCCACTCTTAGCCCCAGCCACGTTGGCCACAGGTCAGGCGGAATCTGGGGAGGAGGCTGGGGTTCTTCAGGCCAGGGTCTGGGTGACAGGAACTCAGAATGAGTGACATAGACAGAAACCGTGCCTTCCTGGAGCTCACAGTCTGGTCAACAGAGGACATCCTAATGCACACCGGAAGGTGATAGGTTCGATATTAAAATATAAAAGAAGTCAAGCATGGTAGTCCACGTCTCTGGAGGCCAAGGCAGGACTGCCACAAGTTCAACGCCATCCTAAACTACATAGTGAGGCCCTGTCTCAGAGAGGAAGAAAACAGATAACAAAACAAAAACCATGGTGTGTGTGTGTGTGTGTGTGTGTGTGTGGATGTGTGAGAGGGTGTAGGGGTGTAGATGGCAGGGAGTTTCTTTTTTTTTTTTTTTTTTTTTAACTTTTTGAGACAGGGTCTCATTGTGCGTGCAGCTCAGGCTGGCATTGAGCTCATTTTGTAGTTCAGGCTGATTTTGAACTCCAAATGATCTTCCTGCAGCAGGCTCCCAAGTGCAGGGATTACAGGCACAAGCCACCTAACCCAGCAACACCCACCTTAAAAAAAAATGTAGTTTTGGATGTAGCTCAGTGGGAAGACCCAGGGTTCAATCCCTCAACACTCACTCCAAAAAAAGGTGTGCATTTGTAATTGGTCCAATGCCCAGCACACTGACTTTGGGATTTTGGGGGTTTGGGGGGGGGGTTGATACTGGGGATCAAACTCAGAACCTTGTACTTACCAGGCAAGCGCTTACACCACTTAGCTAAATCTCCAGCTACACACAAACTCATTACCAGAGAGGGCCCGCCAAAAGTAGACAGACACCGCCCACCTTTTTCTCACACGCACGCGCCCCGCAGCACGCATACGGCCCTGTCACTTGTAAGAGCTCCCTGGAACCAAACTTCTGACCCGCGATGGAGGGGCAGGAACTTACCCTGCGCCTGCACTTTGAGGGACTTCCTGTCGTGGGGGCGTGGCTGCGCAGGCGTGCAGGGTGCCCAGGCCCCTGAGCATAAACAAGAGTAGGGCTGGGACGAGGCAACGTTTGAGCCTGGAGCAGCCAGCGGTGGCGAGTAAGATCCAGCACCGACCCTGAGTGCATCTTGATCGTACCCCAAGAGCGCGCGGCCGCTTGGCCACCACTTTGGCCAACCCGCCGCGCGCGCAGCCATGAACCTCGCAAGTCAGTGCATCAAAGCTGGCGCTAGCCAGCTGCTGTTCGGCAACTTCAACCCCGATAACACGTAAGGCCCGGGCTGCAGCCGGGGTCGGGGCCAGAGGTCAGGGGTCAGAGTTCTTAGCGGGCCTAGGGCGACTGCCTCGCGCCGGTTCGGAGGGGTCGGAAGGGTCGGAAGGGTCACGGCTTGGACTTCCCTAGCCACTGCTGAGGCGCTGCGGGAAGGGAGTGGCTCAAGGAGGCTTGCTGGCGGCTCGGGCTTGGACCCCGCTTCTCCCCATGTTACAGTGGAACTTTGCGGCTTGACTCGCGGTCCTGGCTGCCCCGTGGCGTGGACTTGTCCCCCACCTCCGCCTCCAGGCTCTGCCTTTGCCCTGCTTTTCCCCTTCCGGCCTCTTCCTCGTTGCCCTCGCATCCCATGGCCCCTTCTCTCGCTCATCTTCTTTTTACGCTGTTTTCTTTGCCAGGTAACTGTCTCCTCCAGACAACAAACAACCTTAGCAATATATTGGCCTTGGCCCAGGAGAAACTGAGCCTAGAGCAGTACAGGAACTGGCCCTAGGGATCTCAGGGTGCAGGGCATGGGACATCCGTGGGCAAGAGAGACCGTAATGTCAGTTAGGGGTTCGAACCCGAGCTTATTAGCTCCATATGATAGGGGTCGGAAGTGGCCTCTTCAGGGCTGCCTCTGATGGGTCTTGAGGGGAGTTAATAGATAAGTTTTCTGGAGAAGGAAGGATGAGTTAATGGGGCTGGAAGGGAGAAGAGCCATCTTGGGAAGTAAGAGGAAGTGATGTAAGAGGAGGAGGAGAAGGAGTGAATCACTTGGCATCATTTGAAGTCCTTGGTTGTTAGTGGCAGAATGGAATGAACAAAGTAGAAAATGAGATTTTTTTTTCCTAATTAAAAGTAAACTGCAGAGTGGCAAACACCAGGTTGGAAGTGTGCAGCACGTGCCCTCTCAACAGCACCTTCTCAAAGTTGTGTGGTTGTCAAAGAGAGTTGTGCAGCTATGGGGATTCAGTGCCCACCCCGGGGCCCAAATGACACCTGAGAAAACTTGAACCTAGAAAGAGGGTCAATAGTTGGTTAACCATGGCATGGGGGCAGGCACAGAATCTTGTCTCCTGAGTTCCCTGGCAGTGCTCTTTTCACTGTCATGCTTGTTTTTTGTTTTCACTTTTATTTTTCATATCTCCAGAGCAGAATTCTGAAGACAGTTTAGAATTAATGATGTAGTAATCTATAGAGGTTAAGGCTAGCAAATACTGTAATATTGTGTGTGACCAAAAAGCCAACACAACAAACAATCCAGACAGTCTGTTGCAGTTTGTTGTAGTTGGGATCAACTAGATAATCTGGGGAGAGAGTAGGAAACTTTGAATCATTCTGATTTTATTTAAAACCTTTAGAGAGTCCTGGGAGCCGAACCTGCAGGACTGGATTCCCAGCCATGGGGAGGAGGGGGGCAGGTGGGGAGGAGGGGTTGCAGCATTGCTCCCAGCTGCTAAGACCATGCCCAGTGTCCCAAATCACAGAGGATGCGCAACAGGTTTCTGTAGACCTAACTGGCTCACACCCAGTGACCTCCATGTGCCTAGTAGAGGCTAAACCCAGTCCCAGGAGCCAAACATGCACAAGTTGGCTCCCAGAGCATGGAGGAAGCTTTGAAACATTGCTCAAAACTTGGAAGTATAGTAAAATGTTGAAAGAGCAAAATGCAATCTCAAACTTCTAGTCCAACTTTAGCAAGCCTAGGGAGACTTGGACATAGGAGAAAATGCAAGTCATACACCTGAAATTCCTGAAATGATAACAACTGAAATAAAGGAACTATTCCTGGAAGCTGTAAAAGAACTCAGATCAGAAATAATCTCCCAGGTAAAAGAAGAAATGGTAAGTGTAATGAAAGAAATGCTGAACACATCTAAAGAACAATGAGGAACAATGCAAAAAGATGGTAACCCTGAATGAACAGTGCAAGAAACAAACAATTCATGAAGCAGATTCAAAGAGATATACAGCAAATCAAAAGTTCCATCGAAAGTTGGCAAAACCACCTCCACAAAAGTGAAGATAGAATTTCAGACCTCAAAGACAAGATTGCAGCTAGTGAACAGGAAAGCAAAGATGTTTTAGAAATAACAAGGAATCAGGAAATAATTAAACAGCTGTAAGATGATGCAAAGAAAAACAACGTAAGATTGATAGGGATAAATGAAAACGAAAGGGACAACACAAATGATATCAAGAGACTATTTACAGAAGTAATAACTAAAAATTTCCCAAACATGATAATGTAAACTGACAGATTGGTGAAGCATATAGAACTCCAAATAACCATAACCAAAATAAAACTACACCCAAGCATATAATAATATCCCAGAAATCCAGCATAACGTCCAATACAGTGTCCAACATAACAGAATATTAAAAACTGCTAGACTGGCCCTGAATCAAGGCTGGCAGCTTCCTGACACTGTTGGTTTCAAGCAGGAGCCTAAAGAAATGTCTTCTATGATCTGTTGGCCATTTCAAACCTTGGGCGGTGAAATGGTCAATTCATTAGAAAGAAACAACTTGAAGCAACCCCACTACACACACCCCATGAGTGGCTGTGAGCGTGGCAAGCTGTAGTGGCCCAGAATAGGAGCCACTGGTGTTTAATGTGACCTGCTCCATGCTGGGACTTGGAACGCTGGGAAACCAAGCAACCCCCTGCCCCCATAAGCAGCTGTGAATGTGGCAGGCTCCGGTAGCCGAGGACGGGAGCCTTCGGCATTTACTGGAGCCGTGCCATGCTGGGACCTGGAGTGCCAGGAAACCAAGCAACCCCTCCCCCTCGCCTGTTTTGTTTTGTTGAACTTCAATATACATGAGAGTATGGACAGCTATTTTGAAGAGAACCAGAGGCTCTACAACAGCCATTAGTGACTTCTCTGTTGTCTGGTTTTGAAGACCTAAATCACCTTCCTCATTCTGTTCAGATCAGTTTTATACTATGCTGTTTTGTATGAATTTTCTGTATGTGAAAACATGGAAAACTATTTTGAAGAAAACTAGAGATAATATGATAAGACAGTGAAGATCTCAGGTTGTCTAGCTTTGAAATTTTTATCTTATATCCTATGTTGTTCTGTTGTGTTTAATTTTACCCCCTTTAAAGTAAAAATTTTTAAAAAATTTTAAAAGCTGCTAGAGAGAAGAGACAGATCACCTATAAGGAAAGCCTCTGAGAATCACAGCAGACTTCTGAACACAAACAGTGAAGTCAAGAAGACCATGGAGTGAAGTATTTCAGATCCTAAAGGAAAACAACTTCCAACCCAGACTGATTTACCCTGAAAAACTATCCTCCAAAATGCATAGAGAAATAAAGATACTTCCACAACCAAGAACAGCTGAAGAACTTCATGACCACCAAACCAACCCTGCAAAAAATACTGAAAGACACTCTAGATAGACATAGGAAAAAAACCACTAAACAAGGCAAACAAACAGTGGAAAGGTAAAGAAGCAACAGCAGAAAGATAACGTCAAAAAAGCGAATATATATCAGTTATAACCACTAATGTAAATGGCCTCAATTCACCAATTAAAAGAAACAGACTGAAAGAATGGATCAAGAAACAGCATCCAACCATATGCTGAATACAAGAATCCATCTAACCCGAAAGGAAACACATAAACTGAAAGTCAAAGGATGAAAAACAATACTTTATGCAACAGGAACCCCCCCCCCCCGCAAAAGCAGGGTAGCTATTCTGTTTGCAGACAATGTGAACCTCAACCAAGAATGATAGAAATAAAGAAGGTGGGGCTGGGGATTTAGCTCAACGGCATAAGCACCTGCCTTGCAAGTAGGTGGTCATGAGTTTGATCCCCGGAACCAATAAAAATGAAAAAGACAAAATAAAAAATTAAAAAAAAAAAATAAAGAAGGCCACTAAGTACTAGGTAGGGGAAAATTTCAGGAGGAAGAGATAACAATTTCAAATATATATGCACCAAACTCAAGAGCACCTATACCAGCTATACAAAACAAATAATAACAGAAATGAAAAATCAAATAAACAATAACACAATTATAACAGGAGACCTTAATGTGCCATTGACACAAAGGGACAGATCAATCACACAGAAAATCAGCAAAGAAATAACTGAACACCTGTGAGCAAATGGACTTGTTCACATCTGTGAACAAATGGACTTGATGTACGTGTACAGAGTGTTCCACCCAACAACATCAGAATATATATTCTTCTCAACAGTGCATGGGACATTCTCTAAAACAGACTGTATACTAGTCCACAGAACATAAGTAAGTGCAAAAGAATTGAAATCCCATGCATGTTATCAAATCATAGTGCCATGAAACTAGGGATTAATGATAAAAGAAACTGCAAAAACCCCACAAAAACAAGGAAAATTGAATAATATACTCCTGAGCAGTCAGTTGACTTTTGGTACTAGAGTAATATTTGCTTCCAGGAATGAGTTAGGAAGAATTGCTTCCCTTTCAATTTCATTGAAAAATTTGAGGAATGTCGACATTAAATCTTTGAATTTCTTGTAGGATTCTGCAGTGAATCTGTCTGGGCCTGGGCTTTTTTTTGTTGGTAAGGATTTAATTACATTTTCAGTTTCATTAACTGAAATTGGGTTATTCAGCAGTTTTACATCTTCTTGACCCAGCTTTGGTAATTCATATGTTTCTAGGAATCTGTCCATTTCTTCTGTGTTTTTGAACTTACGAGAGTAGAGGTTTTAGAAATAGGTGTTGATGGTCCTCTGTATTTCCACAGAGTTTGTAGGGATTTCACCATTTTCATACCTTATTACATAAATTTGAGTTTTTTCTTTTTTAAAATAAGATTTGGCTAGGGGCTTATCAATTTTATTTACTCTTTCAAAGAACCAACTCTTTGATTCATTTATTCTTTGTATTATTTTCTTAGTCTCTGTTGCATTAATTTCTCCTCTGATCTTTATAATTTCCTCCCCTCTTTTGGCTTTTGGCTTGACTTGTTCTTCTTTTTCTAGATGTTTGAGGTGTAGAGAAGGGAA